TCCCCTTCTTGCCCCGTGGACGTAGACAACTTGCCGAACCATGTAAAATTCGTTGTTTGAGTTCGTACTGTTAATTTTGTGTTTGTGTGACATTCTCTCTCGGCAACTTCGTGTTTCCTCAGACCCCCAAAAAGAGGCTTCAAAGCCCAACAGTTGACTCAAATTTATTATTATTATTATTATTTTATAGAGGAGCCGTTGAATACGTTAATGCAGACCAACGATCACGATGCAGTGAAACGAGGCATTCGCAAAAGGCCCAATGAGCCGTGGGCTTTGATACAACGAATCGATATCAGTGATCGTTGGTCTGCATTAACGTATTCAACGGCTCCTCTATAAAATAATAATAATAATAATAATAAATTTGAGTCAACTGTTGGGCTTTGAAGCCTCTTTTTGGGGGGTCTGAGGAAACACGAAGTCGCCGAGAGAGAAGGTCACACAAACACAAAATTAACAGTACGAACTCAAACAACGAATTTTACGTGGTTCGGCAAGTTGTCTACGTCCACGGGCAAGAAGGGGATGAGTTTTCACTAATAGAGAAGAGAATACAAATAGAGATTACAAAATTACTCAAAATCTCTTAAACAAAGCTGTCAAATCTCTCACACAAACCCCAAACAAATTGCTCAGAAAACTCTCTTTTATGTGCACCAAATAATTAACCCCTTTTCAACCTTACCAAACCCTAAAAAATGTGTTTCAATATATATCAAAACACAAACCAAATCAGAACATGAAACGAAGCTCATGTTGTGCACAGCGGAAATTTCGGCAGAGTTTCTGGTGCACAATAAGAGAGAAAGATCGATAAGAATTCTTGTTTCTCAAAGGGAACAAGAATCTGAAGCCTAATATCCCATCAAAGCGGGATATTAGCTCTTCCTCTCGTCAGCTCTAGGACTGCGCGTCGAGGGATCCTAAAAACTATTACAATGGCCACAAACTCAAACAAACCAATTTTACGTGGTTCGGCAAACTGCCTACGTTCACGGGGCAAGGAGGAATAGAGGGAAAGAGAATACAAATAGGGTTTACAATCTCTCAAATCTAAACCCTCAAACAATCTCTCAGATCCCTCACAATATCTCTCTACAAAAGATGCACAAAACCCAACAAAAAGGATGACTGACTTCTTCTGCGTTTTTCTCCCGCAGCCAAAAAATTACATCTGCCTTTACTCTTGCACTTTTGTACTTGCTCTCTCTCCTGCAGCCGAAACAAAGCACACACCCTTGCTCTGTCCTTTGCACCCAGCCGCCTGCCTATTCCCCCTCTCAATCTTGCACACATAAACCCTAAGAACCATTGTGTATTTATAATATCCAATCAGGTGGACCCAAAAAACCGCTGAACAAACCGCTTTTGCTTGTTTTCGTTTCATGGGCTGCACCGCATCAAAGCTTTAACCAGTGGGTCTTCAGGTGGATCTTCACATGGGTGATCTCTTCACGCGGAAACAACTCATCACATGCCTACCATTCACACGTTGTCCAAGCTTGTGGCCCCCACAAGCTGCTGTTATCCAACAATTCTCCACCTCGGCGAAGTTTTTCCAAAACTGAGCCGACACCAACCAAACCAAATGTCTCACTTGTTGTGTCCAGTACACCGTGAAACAATTCACGACAACAGACTCAATCCATAACAAGTCGAGACCCAAATGAGAATGCGAACATTCTCCAAATGTTGGTATCAACTTACCAAATCGATCTCACCCCCATCAAAATCCAAAACCGGCTGCATCGTAAAGACTGCCTACGTATCATCTTGCCCAAGGAATCAAGCCGAACGTAGTTCACCCAAATGGTCGCAAATGACCTCAATCCAATAGAAGAGTTCGCAACCCTTCTCCAATATCATCAACTCTGCGGCTGATAGCACCTCCAATGGCCTCAAACACCTCCACCTGAGGTGAACCAATGGTCATATCCAAACTGTATCTATCAGCTGCACTCGAGCCAAAACCCAACTCATCATCTGCATCCGAATCCAAATGACTTCCACGCTGTGTCACCTCAGCTGGAATCCCAACCAATGCAGAATGACCTGGAGTATGTGGGAAAATCCCCACCCAATATGGAGTAGCATCAATCTCCACCCGCTGCGATACCTCTAAGGTCTGTCCAAAACTCTCCACCTGCTGAGAGTCAATTAGCCCCCTCATCGAAGCCTCAACCAAAGTGACACTATCAGACCAAACATCCAATGGAGTTTTACCCCCAATCACAGCAGTTGATAACTCTTTAATAGGATGACCCAAATATGTTGAAGCCTCTGTCCAGAAACTCTTCTGCAGACCATTGCTTGATAACAAACACCGATCCTCCTCCAGCAAGGTACGGTTCTCCAAATTTGTCACCCTATCTAGCTGCCCTAAGATTTCCTTTCCAACGAAGTGTCTCGAAATGCCGTGAGCTCGGCTCCAATACAGAAACAGGTCCATCTTGTACCTCCCACCAGAATGGAGTACCTTCACCTTTCTGTCTATTACACACTTCTTTAATCTGTTAGAGACTACTAGGACTTTCTCCAATGGGGATTTGGTTGCAACCCAAACACGTCTAGAACAGGCACCAACAAAGGAAACCAAACGCCTATTACCTCCTAATGATGCCCCCTTGGAAGGCCCCCAAACATCCACGTGAACTCCTCCAGAACGACCCTTAGCACGGTCTTCTTGCTCACATCAACATGTTCACTGGACTTCAAACTGCAAGTCTTTGTACCCTCTTTCAATTGATGCGAGGAATCAATACTGGAATGGCCAAGCCCTAAATGCCGCAGTCTAGTCGAATCAACAGAAGTCGCTAGCTCTCCACCTGTCACTATACCTCCAGTCAAGTAATACAGGTTATTCCTCCTGATGCCCTTCATCAAAATACGAGAGTCTCTCGCAATCACGAGAACCATGTCCTCAACACGAACCTTCAGACCCTCTCCAACCAAAGCTCCAATCGAGATCAAGTACTTCCTCAAAGAAGAAACATATCTCACATCATTTAACTCCCTAACAGTCCCGTCAAACATTTTTATGCGAATTCTTCCTATCCCAAGGATCTAGCATGCACGGTTATCAGCCATGTACACCACACCACTATCCACCAGCTTCTCAAAACTGGAGAACCATTCCTTTCTAGAGCACACATGATAGGTCGCACCACTATCCAACATCCATTCAGATTCCTCTGAATAGCTATCTGTAGGACTGATAGAAAGCGAATAAATAGAAGAGTCAGAATTATTACCATCCGATACAATGTTTGCTTCTGATGATGGTTGCTTCTATTTTCCCTTCTGCTTATTCTTCATCCATTCGTCGAGCTTTGGGCAGTCTTTCTTCCAATGACCAGTCTCTTTGCACCAAGCACACTGATCTTTTCCAATTGTAGGATGCCCTACTCTAGACTGTGACTTCCAATTCTTCCGGTTCGGATTCTTCCCTCTTGCGACCAACACCTCTGCTACCGACTCAGTCGAAGTCTCCTTATCCTTCTTCCGAAGCTGATAATTCACCAGTGCAGCAGTGACCTCACTATACGAAAGAGATGCCTTCCCATTAATCAGAGTAAGGACGAAGGTCTCATATTCCTCGTTGGGCAAGGAACTCAACAACAGCAGCGCATTGTCCTCATCTTCAATCATGACATCCACATTCACCAAATCCGCAAGAAGCTTTGTGTAGTGGTTCATGTGATCTCTAATGGAGGTTCCCTTCTTCAACTGGAAACGATAAAGTCTCATCTTCAAATGCAAGCGATTTTCCACACTCTTGGTCAAATACTTACTTTCGAGAATCTCCCAAATTTTCTTCGCAGAAGTCTTATTCATCACATCATATTTTAGATCTTGAGTCAAACAAGACCTAATCACACCACACGTCGTTCGATTCATCTTTTTCCAAACCTTCTCTTCAATCTCATCTGGCTTGCCATCTAACTCCAATGTATCCTCCAAATTCTGCGCGTTCAGCGCATCCAAAACCTCGCATCTCCATAATCCAAAGTTGTTTGTGCCATTAAATTTCTCCACATCTATCTTCATAGAGTGGAACCACCCTCGACTCCCGAAGCACCTTCTTTCCCCGACATCTTACGTACCAACGAACGAAGAATAGATCCAAAACTAAAAAGATAGAGTCTTTACCAAAAAATCCCACATTTATCACCAACGAAGCCCTAAACGAGCCTCCAAATTGATCTACTCCTCCAACCAAACCCTATATCCGGAATCTGGGCTCTGATACCACTTGTTGTGCGCAGCGAAAATTTCGGCAGAGTTTCTGGTGCACAATAAGAGAGAAAGATCGGTAAGAATTTTTGTTTCTCAAAGGGAACAAGAATCTAAAGCTTAATATCCCATCAAAGTGGGATATTAGCTCTTCCTCTCGTCAGCTCTAGGACTGCGCGTCGAGGGATCCTAAAAACTATTACAATGACCACAAACTCAAACAAACCAATTTTACGTGGTTCGGCAAACTGCCTACGTCCACGGGGCAAGGAGGGGGAGATCTACTAATAATCAGAACAGAAAACAAAGCACAGGCCCAAACCCGACAGGCAGTCGACCGCCGAAACCATCGCGGTCGACCAGATAGAATGACAGAAACCAAAAATCCATTACATGGTTCGCGGTCGACCGGACCTAGCCTCGTGGTCGACCAACCAGAGCTCCAGAAAACCACCGTGTAGCGTGCACGTTTCCGGTCGGCTGCATTCTTGGTCGCGGTCGACCGGGAAACCTCAAAACTGTTTCCTTCGTCAAATTTCCTGAACTTCAACCCCGTATTCACCGTTTCTATAACAACTATCTCCATTAGTTATTATAAGTTGATAAATGTGCAAATGTATTCGCACGAGAGAGGTCGACCAAATCATCCGTGGGTGTATAAACCACTTGGATCGAAACTAATTAACGTAGATCAATTTCTGAGCCAATATGTCATATATATTGTTACGAGTCGATCGTTCTAATCTGGTGCGAGGCTAAGACAATGGAAACGCACAGGAATGAGGACTTTCATGGAAATTTTTGTAAACCGTGTGATGAGTTGCATCAAATTACATCAATCTCCAACTCACAACGTGATCACATATAATTTTACAAGCCAAAAAAGGGCCCTAAAAAATGCCGAAGCGGGCGCGCATCAGTTCCGCGCCAAGAACCACAATAATCACCGATCAATCCCCTCAATCTTGTCCTCAACCTCCGAATACAACTGCCTCAACTTCTCCAGGTTCTCCTCCGACGTCTCCCAATATCCTCTCCCGCTCGCCTCCAAGAACGTCTGCACCATTTTCCTGAAGGAGTTCGGGTTCGTCTCCATCAACCTCTTCAGCATCTCCTCGTCCTTTATGAACGTCGTGTTCGCCTCCTCGTACACCCAGTTGTCGACTTGCCCTGACGTCGCGCTCCACCCGACGGTGTTTGTCAGCCTCTTCTCGATCTCCCTCACCCCCTCGTACCCGCTCGACATCATCCCCTCGTACCACTTCGGATTCAGCAGCTTCGTCCTCGCATCCAACCTCAAGTCTCCGACAGCGTCCTCACCTGCGCGTTCGCAGTCGTTGTATCCGCAATGTAGGAGCTCGGCTTCTTCCCGTCCTTTCGGAGGTTCTGCACTAAATTGGTCGGGTCAGAGTCGAAGTAGTGGCTTACGTCGGTCAGCGATATCTCTGACGAGTCCAGGTTTTGGAACGTGGCGTCTGCGGTGCTGAGGGCCATTTCGAAGACCTTGCGCTTCTCGGTCATGCCGATGCCCGGAGCGTCGCTGTCAAAGGCAAAGGATTTGCGGCTGAGGTACATGTCTTGGAGCTGTTTCTCGTCATTCCAGGAGGAGTTTTCGACGGCAAGGTTGACGTTGGAGGAGTAGGAGCCGGAGGCGTTGGAGAAGATACGGGTGGCCGCTTCGCGCATCGACACACCGAGTTCTTCAGCTTGTTGGCGGGCGTGCTTTCTCACGTAGTTTTGCTCTTCGGGCTCATCCAGCTCGGCCACCATCTTCACTGCTCGGTCCAGTAGGTTCATCTGATCAAGAAAAATATAATATAATATATGGATATATATATATGACATTAATCAGTATGTGCATCATCAACTAATACCTGCATTAGTTAAAAATCGCAAACATTTTGTACCAACAACGTACCTGATTGATAAAGAGGTCTCTGAAGACGCCGGAACAGTTGACTACGACGTCAACCCTTGGCCTGCCGAGCTCCTCCAGGCTCACTTGGCTCGACCCGGTCACACGGCCCAAACCGTCGGCCGACGGCCGTACACCGATCATCCACAGAACCTGAGCCAGTGACTTCCGTAGTCATTGATGTTCAGTTCCCCAGAGCACAAGAGCAACGGTCTCAGGGTAATTCCCACCGTTGTCAATCTTCTGTCGTTCGAGCAATCGATCGACCACGACCTTCGCGCTCTGCATCGCCGCCACGGTCGGGATCGACTGTGGGTCCAATGCATGGATGTTCTTGCCCGTCGGCAGCACCTTCGGGTTCCTGATCGGGTCACCCCCAGGCCCAGGCTCGACGTAGCTTCCTTCGAGCGCTTGTTTCAGACTGCCGAGCTCGTTGTCCATAACAATAAGCTTCAAGCATTCTCCCAAGAAACCAAACAATGTCCGGAGCTTCTCGCGGTCTGCTCGCAGGAACTTGGTTTTCGACAAGTACTGCACCCACGGCTCGATCAGGCCAAACCCGAGCATCGAGCTCAGCTTGTTCGCCACATCAACAACCTGTCCCTTTTTGTTCGTCGTCTGGTCAACGAATGCAGAGATTGCCGCTCTCGATGCCTCTGTTATCTGACGAAGCAATTCCACATCAGCCAAAACCCCCTTATCACTCCCGCGGTACACATCTTCGATGTTTCTTCCGACAGTCTCGGCGAGTATCCCAGGCAACGAGTAAATCCCCTCCTCCGGTCGATCAAGAGCTGCGATATTAACCAGCGTTGCCACCGCTTCCATCGCCGACGGTGGCTCTCCGATCACATGAAGCCCGCAAGGAAGTAACCGAGACTCAATCTCCATGATCTTCGAGTACACCTTCCCTACGACAAGATCCCTCTCTTTCGCCGACAGCTCCTCTCCTTCCTCCGGCAAAGAAACATCCTTGTCAAGATTACACTGTCTCGCTGTGCTGATGATGGAGCTAACAATCTGAGGTCCCCGACCGGAATCCTTCAGTGACTGATATGACGATATCAGCTCGGCTAACTGCTTCAAACCCTTGTAAAGCCCCGCATTCTCCGCTGGTGGAGTCAGGTAACTGATCGTATTCGCATAACTCCGCCGCTTGGCTATTGTCGCCTCTGACGGGTTGTTCGCAGCATAGTAATAGATGTTCGGTATGTTTCCGATCAGGCTGTCGGGAAAGCAAGCATCGCTCATCCCGACCTGTTTCCCAGGCATGAACTCAAGTGACCCGTGGGTCCCAAAATGGAGGACAGCGTCCGCGCCAAAGATCTTCTCGACGAACGAGTAATACGCCGCGAACCCGTGGTGGGGCGACGCCGATTTCGAGAAGAGGAGGCGCATGGGGTCGCCCTCGTAGCCGAACGTCGGCTGCACGCCGATGAACACGTTGCCGTACTGCTTGCCATAGACAAGGAGGTTCTCGCCGTCAGAGTTGAGGTTGCCGGGGGGTTTGCCCCAGTTCTCTTCGAGGGCGGCGGCGTAGGGGGTGAGGGCCTTGTACTCGCGGACGGACATTTTGTAGGCGACGTTCAGGTTGGGGGAGCTGAACTTGGCTTCTTTATCGTGGATGACGTCTTCGATGAGGGACTCCGGGGAGTCGGGAAGGCCGGAGACGTCGTAACCGTCGCGCTTGAGGTCGGAGAGGACGGAGTAGATGGAGGAGAAGACGTTGAGGTAGGCGGCGGTGCCGACATTGCCTTTGTCCGGGGGGAAGCTGAACACCGTGATGGCCACTTTCTTCTCCGCCTGCACATTACAACAGTAAATAAATAGGGTGAGCTCTTAAGTTTAGTGAGATTATCTGAGTCTAATCTTCTCAGCAAATATGGATGTAGATGCTGGTGATAAATTCGTCTGACAGCGCAATGGGACATGAGTAGAATGTAGATACAAAAATTTAGATGACATCAAGAGAACAAATTAACATCTCATGATCAGAATATAACACTAAAGTTACAAATGAATTAAATTAAATTTATCGATACGTCTTTACATCATGTTTCATGAATTTATCAAATTTGGAAATAAAGAAAAAAAAAAGAAACCATTCATCAAGAGAGAACATCTGATGAGAATGTAACAACAAGGTCAGCCATGAAAATATTTGTTAGACTTCTTGTTCAAACAGAACAAAAACCATTTAGTATTATATTATAGTAAAATTAATCTTTAAAAAGTATGTTCAATTTATTTTGTCACACTTGAAAGAGGAAACAATACCTTTGGTTTTCTCTTGAGTTCTCCCCATCTGATAGCCCTTGTGCAGAGCTGCTCCACTCTCTTATGCAGCGCATGTGATTTCCCTGCAGTAACCAAGTACAAAAGCCAACCATATATTAAAACAGAGCATTAAGACAACGCAAAAAACAGAGCATAACAGAGCAAACAGAGCATGCTACAAAACCTTTAACCAGATAGTATTCTCTTTTTTTTTTATAGTTTTCTTTTTCAAACTTCTCCTTTGTCTTTTAGGATTATTCTAATCTTTTATGTCCACCACTTGATTTCGGTCCAACTCTTTCGTCAAGACTCCAATAATTCATCAATTTCAAGGTTCTATTTAAATTATTGATCATAGATCAAGTCCCAAGGATACTAAACATAGTATTTTTTTGGTTCTTTGAGTTTTTGTAGGGCATTACGGCCGGCCCCGTTTGGTAAAGGATTAAGAAAAAGAGGTTAAAAAAAGATTAATGTAATTAGCCCATTCGATAATCTAAAAGACTAAATTATTAATCCGTTAAATAAGTTTTATTTTAGCCCTTGTAATCAGTTTTAGTGTTTGAGAATAACAATGATTTTAACTATTTTCTTTATAATTAGAATGATTAACTCTTAATCATTCTAAATAGGAGTATTAGTAAACCCCTCATTTTGAGGGAATTAGAATGATTAACTCTTAATCATTCTAAATAGGAGTATTAGTAAACCCCTCATTTTGAGGGGTTAACTCATTTTAATAATCATTCTAAATAGGAGTATTAGTAAACCCCTCATTTTGAGGGGTTAACTCATTTTAATCCCTCTAGAGAGGTTAGCTTAACCATTCTACATTTTTTATGTTTGGCAAATTATAGAGGATTAACTCACTTTAACTTTTGTATAGATTTTTTGTGTTTGGCGGGTTAAGAATGGATTAAGTCTCCTTAACCCCTCACTTAACCCTTCACCAAACAGTACCTACTTGAATAGTCTATAGTATGCATTTGCATACAGAGGACCGATTAATTGGGCCCAGTCAAGAGTCCGGGTTGAGGTCAAACTTGATGCTGGCAATGTTGACCTAAGAACTGATAACTTTTCGGTGCACATTTAGAATTACCTGTTCTTGGGTCCCGGCCCGAGAAAACAATGGGCTCCATCCCTCCATCAAGCTCCGGCAACGCCACCTGCAGCGCTACCTGAATAGGGTGCAACCCCAAAGTACTATTCAACCACTCCTCCGTCGTCTGAAACACAAGGGGCAGAGCCACAATGTAAGGCACGTCAAGGTTCCTCAACGCCTCGATTGCCTTCGGGTGATCCTGCCGTGCCGGGCCTCCGACGAGCGCGAAACCGGTCAGGGACACCACCGAATTGACGAACGGCTTCTTATCGATCGGATTGAGGAAGTACCTGTCCGACATTTATATAACCAAAAAAAAAAGGTTGAAAATAATATAGAATGTATTTTTGTTTAGGGGCGGTTTGTTTTGCTTTTTTTGTCCCCTGATTTCATGTCAAAACTGACAGTTTTTTGACAATTTTCTTGCCAAAACGCTCCTAAAAGAACGTTTTGACAAGAAAGCTGCCAAAACTGACAGCAAACTGTACTGTCAGTTTTGGAAGGGAATCAGGGGCAAATGAAACAAACAAAACAGCCCCTTACCGTAACTCTAGTTGCAATGCAAAAATATTAGTCCGCATGCCAACAGAAGGTTCTGATCCCTCGGCTTGACACGCGGCTGAATCCCAACCGTCCATGTGACTGCCCCCAAAAAAAAGAAGGGTAGAGTACTGTGTGTGGGATGTTCTTATTCTGTCCTAAAATGTCCTTAATTAGTTGTATCCGACTACGGTCACGATCAACACTTTCATCAAATTGGAATTCCCATCTTTTAGTTATTATTATCGCGCAACGCGTAAATAATTCCCCAAAAAGAAAGAAAAATTACCTCTGCGCCGGCCCCGAGAAATCCAGCCCGCCAGCGAAAACGGGAATGACCTTGGCCCCCCTCGCCTCCAGCTCCATGATCACGGCCACGTAGTGGCGTCGTCCCCGGTCACAATGTGGCTCCTCTGCAGCACCAGGCCGACCGCTGCGCGCGGTCGGCCCTCCTCACCCCCTCGTTCACGTCCCTCCTCGTCCGTACCATAGATACTCCCTTCACGTCGTCGTACATCGGCCGGGGCCAGCGGGTGCAGATCGCGCTTGTCGAGGACAGGAGGCCGGCTCCGAGTACTCGACCCTGCGCTCACCCCGAAGGGCCGGCACGTAGGACCCGGACACCATCTTCACGAGTTCTCCAGGTTCTCACGGGGACCCCCGAGCCAGAACTGCAGGCTCAGTATGTACAGCTCGCGTCCCGGCCTCTGTCGCTGGCCAGGTACTTGGCACCTTAGGGCAGCGTCCGCACACCTTCAGCATGCTGATCCGCGCAACCGGCGACGACCCCCTTCTTCTTCGCTGAACAGCTGGAAGAAGGGTGCTCTTCGATGCCCGCAGCTGGACATGCGTGAAGGAACCCGAGCTTGTTGAGCCTCATCACCTCGGGCTCGACGGAAGACCAGGACTGCGGTCGCATGCTGGTCCCCTCTCCTTCTCGACCGGCCGCCTTTATCGTCTGACGGCGAGCTCCTCGACGAAAGATGAGGGAGCGATTGAAGATGTTTGGCGTCCTTGATGGTCGTCGCGGAACGTTTTCGTAGGTGGCTGACTCGTCGCGGAGCCTCCGACCAGGTACGACGACATCTCGAAGGAGAGCGTGGCTGGCGCTGGCGTTGAGGGTCCTGACGGCGGCCGGAGAGCGAGGACTTGGTACTGGGCCTCCGAGCGACGAGTAACTATCTTGACCGCGGAGAGCCTTGACCGGGCTCGTCGTCCGTCGGGGACTATCGCCGGAACCTCGGGCTTCGTCTGCGGTGAAGGAGGCGCTTGCCGCGTCAGCCGATGGCTAGGGCATCTCATGAGCCTGAGCGTTCTCGGTACCGTTGGGCTCTTGGAGGAGAAAAGAGTGGAGGAAAGTCTGTCTGCCTTGAGTCAGGTGGCCGTCCTTGCCTTCGAGCGGCCGGGAGGGCAGATAGGAGGTGTGATACCTAGGTTCGACGCACATCATGACATTTGAAATGCCAGCACGTATAGTAATATCCCCAACAGAGCAGGTGGCGATTCGCGTAATGCAGGTTCGTTGTTACTTCTTGGTTGATTGCTGTGTTCGCTCAGTGGCTGCACAGAGAGGGAGAGAGAGAGAGAGAGAGTGGCTAGCTCTGTATGTTGTGAGTTTTTGAGGGCGGGGGAATTAGGGCGAATTGGAGCTAGCCACTGCCGATCGATGAATGCTGGTGGTGAGAGAGGGAAGGAACCGCGTGGGGGGCGTAGGCAACAAGGAGGAGCTCGGCAGCGGTGGCGATAGGCGGGAGGCCCGTGAATGGCGTGCGTGGGATCCGAAAAGGGTCGTGTGTTGTATCTTCGGAGGCTTCCCATTGGCTGCTTAGTGATTGCCAAGCACACACCTTGGCATGGATTAGAGACGATAGGTGGGGGGGGGGGGAGCCTCTATCATTATAGGGAGGGGGCGCCTTCCGCATAAACAAAACTGTACGGCGAACCGGACGAGACCTCCCTTCTTCTTCCTGAACAGCTGGAAGCAGAGGGTCTCTTCGACTGCCCGCAGCTTGCGACATCGTGAAGGACCCGCAGCTTGTTGAGCCTCACACTCGGGCATCGACTGGAAGACCAGGACTGGGTCATCTGGTCCCTCTCCTTCGTCGACCGGCCGCCTTATCGTTGACGGCGAGCCCTCGACGAAGATGAGGGAGCGAATTTGAAAGATGTTGGCGTTCACTTGATGGTCGTCGCGGAACGTTTCGTAGCGTGCTACTCGTCGCGGAGCCCTCCTCGACCAGGTACCGACGCATCTCGGAAGGAGAGCGTGAGCTGGCGCCTGGCGTTGAGGGTCCTGGACGGCGGCCGGCAGAGCGCAGGACTTGGTACTGGGCCTCCGAGCGACGACGTAGACTATCTTGACCCGCGGAGAGCCTTGACCGGCTCGTCGTCGCGTCGGGGACTATCGCCGGAACCTCGGGCTTCCGTCTGCGGCTGAAGGAGCGCGTTGCCGCCGTCCGCCGATGGCTAGGGCATCTCATGCAGCCGGAGCGTTCTCGGTACCGTTGGGCTCTTGCTGGGGAGAAAAGCAGTGGAGGAAAGTCTGTCTGCTTGAGTAGGTGGCCGTCTTGCTTCGAGCGGCCGGGGAGGCACGATAGGAGGTGTGATACCAGGGTTCGGACGACATCATGAACATTTGAAATGCAGCACGTATAGAATATCCCCACAGAGCAGGTGGGATTCGTGTAATGGGGTTCGTTGTCTTCTTGGTTGATTCGTGTTCGCTCAGGTGGCTGCACAGAGAGGGAGAGAGAGAGAGGAGAGAGTTGGCTAGCCTGTATGTGCTGAGTTTTTGAGGGCAGGGGGATTAGGGCGAATTGGAGCTAGCCTACTGGCGACCGAGAAGTCTGGTGTGAGAGAGGAAGGCACCGCGTGGAGGGAGCGGTAGCAACACAAGGAGGAGTCGGCAGCGGTGGCGATAGGGGGAAGGCCCGTGAATGGGGTGCGTGGGATCGAATAGGTCGTGTGTTGTATCTTCGGAGGCTTTCCCATTGGCTGCTTGGATTGCCCAAGCAACACCTGGCATGGATAGAGACGATAGGTGGGGGGGGGGGGGGGAGCCTGTATCATTAGGGGGGCGCTCCGCATAAAAAAACTGTACGGGGAATGAGAAGGAGATGAGTAGATGATACAATATTAGTGCAATTAATAACAATATGTTTTAACAGTATAATCCGATGCTGAGCTAGCATGATTATCAGAACTTCGTACCATTGCAACCACCAACTTTAAAAATTATACTGATGCCTGAGTCGCATTATCCTCTTTTTTTTCTACATAATTCTGATTTTAATCTAACTTGATAGGCAAAAGCCCTCTAGAAAACTCTTTATAGAAAACCACGCGGTAAGGAACGAGAACGGGGCACATATCTGAGCACAAACTATAAAGTTGGTGAGCTTATACGATATTCTAATTGTATCAATCTCTTGCCCGGTTCTATTAAAATTACTGACTATAACAATATTGTTCATGTTGAGTTGAGAAGGGTGGTGAACACTAAAAAATATTTTATATATTATTATTTCTTTAGTGGTTCAACACTCGATACTTTCTCTAATACAAACACCCTCTCCACTACAAACTCCTACGTACACTCTTTTACAAACACTCATTATTTATTTTTCTCTTTCTTTATTTCTCTATTTATTATTCTTGATGAGTACTGTAGCTGAGTTACTGTTAAAATAGTGGCATAGGCAGGTAGCTGCTGTCTGCTGACTTTAACACTTACACTGATCAAGTCTAATTTGAAATTGATACTAAAATTAATGGATGCCAGTATATGTTATTATCGTGCCCGTGTATAATTTTCTATAGATGATAGTGCATATGATTGCTTCTCCATTTGATGCGTGCGACTTATTTATGTATTTATTTATTCTTTTATTGTGTTGACGTAGAGATCTTTTTGGGTGTACATATGTGACTCCTATTTAAAGTGATGGAGATATTCCGCAAGCTTGCCTTGGTGGAGCTTTATGAGCTTGGAAGTTCATTGCCAGCGAAATAATTATTCGCATTTGAACAAAGTTTTTATTCCTAAACACAGAAGAAGAAAAAAAATACTATGTCTTGTCGTTGTTCTTGATTTGATGTTTGCACACGATAGTGCCTTACTTGGATGTATTCCATATGGGAAAATTAATCACCGGGGCCATAATATAACAAGATGCATAGGAGGGAGAGGGAGAGAGAGAGAGAGAGAGAGAGAGAGAGAGAGAGAGAGAGAGAGAGAGAGAGAGAGTTGTTGTGTTCATTTAGACTACCTGCTACATGTCTGTAAGCATTAATTGTTGTGTTAAGGTTGATTTCTACTTAGAATGTTTTCATACTATCTATAATAATAATGCATAACCAACATCTTTCTTTATTTTCAGTCAGGATGAAAAATACAAGTGGAAAAGGAAGGTAAAACTTCTAGTTTTTTTTTTCAATGTTATTACTGAGAGTAACAAGATCTAAAGTGGAATAGGAAGGTAAAACTTCTTAGGTCTCAACCTCGATCGCATAACCTCGGGCTAGAAATATCGAATTTGGATCCTCTCCACTATCTAAAAAATAATGGAGAGACCACTACATAATCACAACCATTGATTATCTAGTTTGTGGTCATGAATTTTTCTTTGAGTGTAAATTAAAAATGGGTGCAATACACAGGGTATGGTAAGTATTAGATTTAGATTGTATCATAACCGCCTACTAAATAATCAACGATTAAGATTAAAAGTAGTGGTCTCTCCACTAATTTCTTGTAGTGGAGAGGATCCAAATTCAGAAATATCCAACATACATTCTAACCAACTTTGCTAGGGAGGTGGGCGTTGATATTTATAGTCTATTTTCATAAATACTTTGTACCGATTAAGTGATTATTAAAAAAATTTTCTTCTTCCCTATCGATTGTAATGACAATCATTTAGCTGAATATTCCTAATGCTTTCTTAAACGAGTAATACTCATGTCTATATCCTCAAAATACAAGAGAAAGGATACAAATCGTATAGCGTATCAACTGACACAAATACAGTTCGGCGGCTGAAATCCGAATATTTGGCCAAAGGGGTCCGAATCAGATATAGACAATATGTGTATAATAACTACTCTATTTGTGCAATAAATAAATAAATAAATAAAAACATAGCTCAAAATTGGAATATGCTACTTCTATCCTACGATTCTTTTGAAGCAATGCACCATATCTAATTAATTTTAACAAAAATACCCCTAAAATAAATCCAACGTCTTCAAAGATGGGAGAAGAGAACATACCTTCACGGGGGCTATGGCCTTCTTCTCTGTTCAATTTTATTTCTATTCAACAAAATTAAAAAAACATAGTAAAACAAAAATTTTAATCACAACTCAAACAGTGGCATTCAGGATGCAGTAAATTGGAAACAAGAGGATTTCAGTTTTGCACGCTCAAGGGCAAGAAATTCATTGTTTCGTTAAAGGTTGAACTAAGGGCCCATATTGAACGGCCCAATGCTGGTGTTGATAGAATCGTAAGATTTCATGGACCATGGGCTTCAAATACTCACTGGTTGACGAGGGTAATTTGGTGATTGGACCTAAAAATAGTATCGCGAAGTAATTGAAGTTCCGCCTCCAAAGCTGCGAGGGTTTTGGGTATTAGGGTTTTAGTTCCATTTCTTCACTCTTTTCTCCATTATATTGTTTGGGTTTTAGGGTTTGTAAAATTTTAGGGTTTTCTTTCGTTAGAGAAGAGCATTTTGGGGGGATTCAATCGCCATGTGGGCACTTCGAAGAGCTGCAAACCCTCTCAGGTGAGAAAATAACCCAAATGATGTTTATGATTCGATAATTTCATACTGCAATCAGCTTCTCCTCCTTTAATCTTTCATTTTTCTTGATGCAGTCGAGACCCGTTCATGATTTTTACTCTTTATCTTGTTTGTACTATGATTACAGTCTTTTATGTGTAATAAGTTTTATTTTTGGTGTTTGGAAATGTTGGGGAAATTACCCACTAAACCAGAGAATAGAACAATCACAAACACAATATTTACGTGGTTCGATCAAATTGATCTACGTCCACGGCAAGAGGGTGTATCACTATATTCAATCTCAACATACAACACTCATACAAAATATTGAGAGCTCACAGATTTCTTGTGTGGCTTTCTCTCTCTTTTTCTCTCAATCACTCTCTGCTGGTTTGGAGTTTTGGAGTGCGTTTTACAGAGGAAGAGAGGGGGGTTTTATAGCTTCCATGCCTTCTCTTTTGTCAACAAATTCGGCACCTCCTCTCTCTTGATGTCAACAACGGAGGCTGCACCTCCCCCTCTCTCTTGATGTCAACAATTGAGGCTGCACCTCCCCCTCTCTCTTGATGTCAACAATTGAGGCCACCGAAAGTTTTGTTGGCCTCAATTGTTGACTAACAATGACTAACAATCTCTACCTCGGTGAAGTTTTCCCAAAAAACTGAGCCGACACCAATAACTAGTAAGTCTTTACCCATCTTGCAAACAATGCCCCAAAAGGGGCCACTTAACAAGTGCGAATGCCTCCCAAATTCAAGCAGTGCTTGAACTTGAAGGCCGGGATCGGTTTGGTCAACATGTCAGCTGGGTTGTCTGCAGTACCTATCTTTTTCATCGTGATGTTTCTTTCAGCAGTTGCCTCACGAATGAAATGATATCTAACATCAATATGCTTTGTCCTCTCATGATGTGCTGAGTTTTTGCTTAGATGTATTGCGCTCTGATTGTCGCAAAATACAACTGAACTAGCCTCCTGCTGTAGTCCAAGCTCACTCACGAGATTTCTCAACCAAATGGCTTCTTTTACCGCTTCTGCTGCTGCCATGTATTCTACCTCTGTGGTAGACAAAGTAACTGTCGACTGTAGAGTCGATCTCCAACTAATAGCTGAGCCAGAAAGAGTAAAAAGATAACCAGTCAAAGATCTCCTTTTATCGAGATCACCTGCATAGTCAGAATCTACAAAACCTACAACTGAGGTTCCCAAAGTACTGCTATCAAAAACTAAACCCAAATCTGAGGTACCCCTGAGATACCGAAGGATCCACTTTACTGCTTCCCAGTGTGCCTTCCCTGGTTGAGCCATGTATCTGCTCACTACACTGACTGCCTGGGCAATGTCTGGACGAGTGCAAATCATAGCATACATTATGCTACCCACTGCATTGGAGTATGGAACTCGGGACATCTCCTTCTTCTCGTTCTCACTTGTAGGTGAATCTGAAGCCGAGAGCCTAAAGTGAGGAGCCAAAGGAGTCGTAACGGGCTTGGCCTTCTTCATCCCAAAGCGTTCAAGCACCTTTTCAATATAACTCTTCTGTGAGAGATATAAAGTTCCAGCTTTCCTGTCCCTCCTGATCTCCATACCTAAGATCTTCTTTGCTGCACCAAGATCTTTCATCTCAAACTCATCACTGAGTTGTTTCTTCAAAATAAGAATCTGCGACATGTTCTTAGCAGCAATAAGCATGTCATCGACATATAATAGAAGATAAATAAAAGAATCATCTCCTAGATGCATGTAGTACACACAACTATCATAAGTACTTCTTGAGTACCCATGACTAAGCATAAAATTATCAAACCTCTTGTACCACTGTCTGGGAGATTGCTTCAGGCCGTACAAAGATTTCTTCAATCTGCAAACTTGATCTTCTTTACCTTCTACGAAGTATCCCTCTGGCTGAGACATGTAGATAATCTCCTCAAGTTCGCCATGTAAAAATGCAGTCTTCACATCAAGCTGCTCAAGCTCCAGATCAAATAGAGCAACCATGGCAAGCAATACACGGATGGAGGTATGCTTCACAACCGGAGAGAACACTTCATCATAGTCAATTCCCTCCTTTTGTCTATAACCCTTAGCCACCAACCGTGCTTTGAATCTAGCATCTTCAACCCCTGGGATCCCTTCTTTCTTCTTGAAAATCCACTTGCATCCAATTGCCCTTTTACCCTTAGGTAATTGCACCAAATCCCAAGTCTGATTCTTGTAGAGTGACTCGAGTTCTTCTGTCATAGCTGTGGCCCAACGTCCAGATTCTCCGCATGAGACAGCTTCAGTAAAGTTTGATGGCTCTTGAATACTCATCTCTTCAGCTGTCGTGAGAGCATACGCCACTAATTCAGCATGTGCATATCTTTGAGGAGGTTTGATCTGTCTCCTCTCTCTGCCAGTGGCTATGGAATAAGGTTCTTCAGTCTCAGCATCATCAGCATCTGAGCCTGAATCATGTTGCTCTTCTACAGCTGTAGGAGCAAATTTTATAGACGACTTTTGAGACGTCTCTCCCTCGAGCTCCACCTGAAGCTCCACCTTATCCATGGTCTTCTCTACATTTCCTGTAGACTCAACAGAAACCTTCCCATGATCAAGCATATATCTTTCATTAAAAGTAACATCTCTACTAATAATGAATTTAGGAGAATCAGGTTCAAGACTCCACAAACGATAGCCTTTAACGCCATCAGCATAACCAATAAATATGCATTTCTTAGCTCTAGGCTCAAGCTTACCCTCTCTAACATGATAGTAAGCGGGACATCCAAATACCTTTAAATTTGAATAGTCATTTGGTTTACCTGACCATACCTCATTTGGAGTCTTGTGTTCAATGGCTGTAGAAGGAGACCGATTCACCAAGTAACAAGCTGTGTTAACAGCTTCAGCCCAGAAGCCTTTATCCAAGCCAGAGTTTGAGAGCATACACCTAGCTCTCTCCATCAACGTTCTATTCATGCGTTCTGCCACCCCGTTTTGCTGAGGAGTGTGCCTGACCGTGCGAAAATCTGAATGGATGTAGTCGAGAGTGTCCTTCGTCGTATGTGAGCCAGTCGAGAAGCTGACCCGAGTTTGCTTCCCAAACACACAATGCTCACAGAAATCCAGTGATGATGTATGATCACCACAGAGTAAGCCACGTTTACTCAAAATAGTCATTCCCTTCTCACTCATGTGGCCTAAGCGCATGTGCCACAACTGAGTAGTGTCTCTATCAGCATCAGAAGACACACCTGCAGAGCCTGTCACCGTACTGCCTTGGAGAACATAAAGACTGTTCACCTTACTACCTTTCATCACAACCAATGAACCCTTAGTAACTCTAAGAGCTCCACCTTCGCCAGTGTATGAACACCCAATAGAATCCAAAGAACTCAAAGAAATTAGATTTTTCTTTAAGTCCGGGATGTGTCTCACATCTGACAAAGTTCTCACTATCCCATCGTGATACCGGATGCGAACTGTACCAATGCCAACTGTCTTGCAAACTGCATTGTTACCCATCAAAACTGATCCACCACTTATAGATCTGTAAGTAGTGAACCAATCTTTATTTGGACACATATGAAAAGACGCACCTGTATCCAAGATCCATTCTTTATCGGAACGGCCATCCAAGGGACATACTGTAAGAACCGTCTCAGCAACAACGGCAGTATCAGCCTTTGCCGTATTAGCTGAATCTGATGTTTCACCACGCTGGTTGTCTTTCTTCTTTAGAGCATAGCATTCTGACTTGTAATGCCCTTTCTTGTGACAGTAGAAACACTCCACATTTTTCTTGTTTGGGGCTGACCTGGACTTTGAGCGATTTCTGGATTGCCCTTTATCACCTTCTCTGGCCTTCGATCTACCTCTGGCTAGCAGACCATCAGCCTGCCCATCGGTACCTCTCCCATTCAACTTTGTTCTCAACTCAGCAGAGTTCAAAGAGGCCTTCACATCCTCAAGACTTATGGATTCTCTTCCATACAACATAGAGTTAACAAAGTTTTCATAAGAGTTAGGCAATGAACATAACACAATGAGAGCCTGGTCTTCATCATCAAGTTTAAGATCCAGGTTTTTCATATCCATGACAATTTTATTAAATTCATCAAGGTGTTCCTGAATGGGTGTACCTTCCTTCATCTTCAGTGTGTATAGCCGCTGCTTCAGGTATAATCTCGTAGTAAGAGATTTCTTCAAATAGAGACTTTCGAGCTTTGACCACAACCCCGCTGCCGTTTCCTCATCGGCAACTTCACGAAGCACATTGTCGGATAGTGACAATTGCAAGGCGCTGTGAGCCTTTTCGTCCATCTCTTCGATCTCGGCACTAGTCATATCTTCTGGGTATTTCCCATCGATAGCTTTAACCGTGCCTTCACGTCGCAACAAAGCCTTCATCTTTATCCTCCATAGGCCGAAATTATTTTGGCCATCAAAGATCGACACCGAGAACTTCACAGAAGCCATTGTGGAGGATTGAAAGCTGTCCTAGAACCGAGAAGCTCTGATACCAGTTTGTTGGGGAAATTACCCACTAAACCAGAGAATAGAACAATCACAAACACAATATTTACGTGGTTCGATCAAATTGATCTACGTCCACGGCAAGAGGGTGTATCACTATATTCAATCTCAACATACAACACTCATACAAAATATTGAGAGCTCACAGATTTCTTGTGTGGCTTTCTCTCTCTTTTTCTCTCAATCACTCTCTGCTGGTTTGGAGTTTTGGAGTGCGTTTTACAGAGGAAGAGAGGGGGGTTTTATAGCTTCCATGCCTTCTCTTTTGTCAACAAATTCGGCACCTCCTCTCTCTTGATGTCAACAACGGAGGCTGCACCTCCCCCTCTCTCTTGATGTCAACAATTGAGGCTGCACCTCCCCCTCTCTCTTGATGTCAACAATTGAGGCCACCGAAAGTTTTGTTGGCCTCAATTGTTGACTAACAATGACTAACAGGAAATAAGCGTGTTTAACATTTTCTATGTAAATATCTACCCAAGTTTTTTTTTTAAAATCCCCCTCTTTCACATATATTTTTTAAAGTTTGCGGGGAAGGGCGGTTCATCGCCTGTGATGAGGCAAGGATTAGTATATGTATGCGTGTGTATTGTTATCTTACTTTATATGGGATTGTGTTGAAACAAAGATTGGTGTGTGTGTGTGTGTGCGTGTGTATTATTATCTTACTAAGAAATTTGAAGTTGAGCCTGGTATCTAATTTTGTTTCTCCATTAGGATTTTATGCTATAACTATTTTTATACACGTTTTCACTCATAGGAGCCAAAGCCACCGCATTGTGGTTGCTCGCTCATGCTGCGCTGAGACCGAGCTTTTGAATGGAAGTAGTAAGCATGGAGTTCATAGCGAAGGAGAGAAACAAGTAATTGGAGGGTTCGTCCATCCAAAGCCATTTTCCTATTTTTCCTCGAGGTCTTTCTTTTGGACCCGCAATCTTTCTTCTCAAGCCGGAGCCAAGTCTAGTGACAGTGAAGATGATGCACTTGAGGATGGGTTTTCTGATTTAGAGACGCCACCAAAAGCTGATATAGCTGATGTAGAGGATGTGAACTCTGAAGGGGAGATATCTGAAGAAGAAGCGGATAACGCTGAGGGCGCACTTGGATTATTGGATGCGGAGTCTGGTGGTGAGAAGACAGTAGGGACAAGGATGAATGCTTCTCCGCTTTTAAAGATTTTAATGGATAGTCCTCGGACATCTATTAATAGTGCCCTTGATAAATGGGTTAGTGAAGGTAAGCCTTTGGGACGGCAGGAAATCTCTCTGGTGTTGCATAATCTTCGAAGGCGGCGTTTTTGGGGAAAGGCCTTGCAGGTGCATATCTTTTCTTACAACTTGTCTTTCAAAGTTTGTTAGAAAAGTGCTTGTTTCAATATGACCAGTGAGATTTTGTGACCTTTCATTCTTGATAGTCAGATGTTTTTTGTTGACTATCAATCATGACATTTTAAGGGTAGTTCGCTTAGCTAGTTTACTGGTTGCTTTCTTCCCTTTCCAGTGCTTAATATTTTTTACTTAGTAAATTTGCAAATAGGATGCTGATTATATTGTAATCAGGATATAAATACGTATATTGCAGCATGAGAACTAATCCTTAGATGTTGACTATATGCTCTACATTTTGTACTGTTGTATGGAAATAATTTCTGCCAACATTTTCTACTTGCTTTTCTTGCTGATCATTGTGAAATTTCAACTTCATTTAATACTACAACTTTCTTTTCCAAGCATAATCATGCTTTACCAACTGTTAGTGGCGTTCTTCATGTTTGCAACTTTATTGCAGCGGTCTGTTGTTTTAATTTTGTAGTGTACGCATACTAGCTAAGCTTTCTTTGTTACAGAATTTACTATCAAACTATAATATGCGAACATCCCTGAGAAATGCCTATCATCCTATTCTCAACCTTTTGAAATGTTTTGCTTGTTCATATCTAGCCAACACCTGAATCTTTCATCAATTATCAAAACCATATATCTGAACAAGAATAACAAATCTTCCCAAATGTTATAACTATAACCAAATCTCAGTAGTGCAGGACGTAATTGCCTACTTTTAAAAAAGAAAAAACAAAACATTCCCTTTCATTGGACCTCCTTGATAACCTAGTTGGCTTGTAAAAAAGAGAAAACAAATGACCTAGTTGTCTTTTTTACGGTGTTCTGGTGAAGACCCATCTATATTTCTATAGCAGAAGTTTCTGTTGGAATCTATACAAATTTAACATCTCAAACAAACATAAAAGCATTTGTTTCCAGTCAGATTACAGACCATCACATTCATATAAAGCTAGGAGCATATGTTTGTTAGTACAATGGTTGGACGATTGTGAAATTTTGTGTTATATATGTTCATGAGCTAGTATTTGTTTATATAATTCATTATGAAACTATAATATGACATTACTGAGAACTTTTGTCTGTCATCGTATGCTTAATGTTCTGAATTTTTGCTAAAAGTATCAAGATAATGCTAATTGTGTCAGTAATCATCAAAACCATACATTGGAAGAAAACACCAATTTATTTACAGAGAGAAGCAAGACATTCCTTTTTCATTGAACCTCCTTGATACCTACATACCAGACACCCATTGGTGAAATATGAATCTGCTGCTATTTGCGTGATTCCTCTACATACAGTCTTTCTTCTGTTCACCTATCTATGTTTAATCCCTTATTACACTGATTGTACGCTACCAAAAACTCTTTATTTATAATCATCTATATTAGTAATTGTACCTTTAAAAGATGCTACACTTTGCTATACATGGTTGTATAGAAGGAACCAGCCACTATCAAAAGCTTACAAAAATACCTTAAATTTCCCAATTTATCCAATCTCCACTTAAGAATTCTACTGAACCTGATTATGACTGTGTAACCACATATGTTTATAGAAGGAGGAGCCTAGATGGATCCCTTGGTTGTGCAGAGTTCAAGGCATTGCTCATTCTGGGTTACACATTGCAATGATTTCTCGAACATTACTGTAGTAAATTAATCTCAGATGCTGTTTTAAGCAAAAGATGGATTATGCAATAAATAAAGGTGGAAACTGTACCAATAGCCTAGATCCTCGACTTACTGATATATAGATCCATCTTTATAGATTGAACAATTTTAATAAGAAGTAGTACATCATGTCAAGCTCTTACAACCTTCCAAGCTCTGTCTTATTCATTGAAGCCTTACACAATATGTCCTTGTTAAGTCCCCCAACCATCTTTCATTTAAGTTATATAGTCTGTATTTAACTAATATCCAGCTATCCTAGTGCTATTTTACCGTCACTTTTCTATTATTGTCATGCTCGGTCAGGTCTGTGTTGCTCAAAACTTCTTAATCCTTGTTCTTAAGATAAAAACATGTTCCTTCAGTTTTTAACTCGTCTTTACTAGGACAACAAAACCATAAACATGGTCATCTAAATTTGTAATTTATTTTCCGTAAGGCTCTGAAGCAAGTAAAACTGATCTACAACCAGTGGATGAAGAATCAATTTCACATTATGCCTGCCTAAGCCCTATTCTTTTTATATTTTTGTGGTTTAAAACAGTTCTTTCACATATATTTTACAGTTTCTGGAGTGGGTAGAAGCAAATGAACGCTTAGAATTCACAGGTCCTGATTATGCTTCTTATCTGGATCTCATTGCCAAAATACATGGTATCCAGAAGGCTGAAAAGTTCATTGAAAAAATTCCACAATCCTTTAAAGGTGAAGTTGTTTACCGAACTCTTCTAGCTAATTGTGTGGCCTCTGGCAATGTTAAGAAATCAGAGGAAGTTTTCAATAGAATCAGGGACCTTGATTTCCCTTTGACAACCTTTGCTTGCAACCAACTACTACTACTTTACAAAAGAATTGACCGCAAGAAGATTGCTGACATCCTCAAACTGATGGAGAAAGAAAAAGTCAAGCCATCCTTATTCACATACAGGCTTTTGATCGACACCAAAGGTCGTGAAAATGACATTTCGGGCATGGAGGAGCTTGTGGAGCTGATGAAAGCTGAAGGCACGGAGCCCGATTTGGCCATCCATTCTATACTTGCAAGGAACTACATCTATGGAAACCTGAAGGAGAAAGCTGAGGCAGTGTTGAAAGAGATTGAAGGAGATGACATCAAAGGAAACCGTGCTGCTTGCAAGGAACTTCTGCCTCTCTACGCTTCTCTTGGCAAATCAGACGATGTGGAGAGAATTTGGAAGGTTTGTGAAGCTAATCCTCGTCTAGAGGAGTGCTTAGCTGCCACTGAAGCATGGGGAAAGCTGGGAAAGATAGAGAAAGCCGAGGAAGTATTTGAACACATGGTTAATACTTGGAAAAGGTTGTCGCCTAGATACTATAATGCTATGATAAAGGTTTATGGTCAACATAAACTTCTCTCGAAGGGCAAGGATCTGGCAAAGAGAATGTCAGAAAATGGGTGTAAGATTGGTCCTTTGACTTGGGATGCGCTTGTGAAGTTGTATGTTGAAGCTGGAGAAGTTGAGAAAGCCGACTCTTTGCTTCAAAAGGCAACACAACAGAATCAAATGAGACCGTTGTATAGCTCATATATGGCTGTGTTAGATAAGTATGCAAAGAGGGGAGATATTCACAACGCTGAGAAGATCTTTCTCAAGTTGAGGCAGAATGGTTATAGCGGGAGAATGAGATTGTATCAGCTCCTGCTTCAGGCCTACATAAATGCTAAGACTCCTGCTTACGGGTTTAGAGAGCGGATGAAAGCTGACAACATGTTCCCAAATAAGGCGGTGGCAGCGCAGCTTGGAGCGATTGAGGGTTTCAACAGAAAGACGCCGATCTCGGAGTTGCTTGATTGAAGGCTGCTTGTTTCCAAAGTGTTGTCAAGTAATGATTCTCGGTCAAATGCTAATTGGTATGATGGTTGGTTGAATTTTGTGTGCGTAGATTCCAGTATAAGATCCTGCGTAATGGAGTTTATTATGGTGAGACTTAATAGTAGTTATAATTTTGTTGTCTTTTTTCTTTCCCTGTGTAATGCATTTCCTATTTCCCACCGGGATACAAGGGTTCTATTTTTTATTTGCAGAATAAAGTAGGTTTCTGTAGAAATTTTTCGCATCGATTCAATATTTCTGCTGTTGAATATATCATCTTGTGAATCCCACTTTGGCCGTAGCTTTCCAAACTCGTGTAGGTCCTCGCCTGTGTGCTTGTTATCTCTGGCGGCAAATCTGCTGTTCGTTTTCTTGGTTGCTGTAGACGTTCAGGCCATCATTTGCATTGTGTTCGAGTCTCAAAACTTTTGGCGCGTCAATCAATGCTTCTCAGATCTTATCAGGCTATGGATGAATACGTACTAGTCGCTATTAGCCAATGCCAAGCATCTGTAGATTTCTTGTGGATCTGACCGGCTCCATAAGATATTATGATCAAGGTCAATACTTCAGCAGTATTAAGTATGATGTTTGCAACTTAATTATTTTCGAGTTACAGCTTCTAGTCATGGGTTCCCTCCCTTGATTTTGTGAAGAATGTGAGGAATGCAGCATGAGATTGATCATAACTGTGGGCATTGAGGTCAATGATACTTGCTTAATATTTGTGGTTTCAAGCGGAAGATCTATTTATTACCCAAATAACATGACATAATTCTCTTCAAACATGATACATTTTGAGTTACGGACAAAGTCAAGTTATCATCTTATTCCACGGTTTTAATTTGAAGAACCAAAACAAAATTCCAACTTGGATCAGGAGCAGATGCTTTCATAGAACCAGTTGAGAAAATATGAGCTTTCCCTGGTCCTTTGAGCTTACTGCAAATAGCACAAGAGTGAGTTCGAGCACTTTCACTTCGACCGACAAGGATCGAACCGTTCTCCATATTTGCTCCATGCAAGAGTACATAACGAGAGTATCGTTTCCTCCCTACGACATGTTTCGATGCCTTAAAAGTCTCAATCATTACGCTAAATCTCTAAAGTTTTGGTCAAAATTAAGAGTTATATTTTTATATCCCAAGAGCTTGCAATTTGTCTTAAAGAGTACATAACAATTGAGGTGCATAGAATTCAACGATCACGAGCAATGTGAAAAAAAACAGATGGTATAAAATTGCCGGCTGCAGTCGACTATTGTTACGTAATTCTGTCAAATCCAATAAAACAAAAGTCAAATCACAAATGGTATAAAAATTGGAGACTAACCGATAAAACAAAAGTCGAACTTTCTCATCCTCAATCTAGTATAGGTACGTACATAATCTCTAGATTCAAACAAGCCTATGAGAAATTATGCTAGGTAACACCTCTTGCGAAAAAATAGAGAGAGAGAGAGAGAGAGTAAATTTGTATTACATGATAACAAGAGCTAACCAGGAAAACAAAAGAGAACTTTAGCAGCAAAATAATTAATGTTTTGTCTTACTCTCAGCCTGTCGCTATGGGGTAAACAAAATATATCAATTTGATCATTTTGCCAATTTAAAAATATAGAAATGATATGGGTCCCGATGAAAGCTGAGAATTAAGGGCCCAAAGAGCCCATTCTAGTTGCCGTTGGGCTCGGCCCGGATCAACCTAAGGCCCCCCACCCCAAGGAGAACCCTCGCCCCCACGGCACGAAATCTAAAGCAGAGGAAAC